TTAATAGGATCTTCAATGTTGTTTATTGGCTATTTCCTTTTTAGGAGTTTGTATTACTGGCACAAATAAGTAAAGCCAACTGTATATACCCGGGTATAAGTCAAAAATTGGCAGTCAAATCGCTACGGGGTACATTGCACGGGGTCTACATGTAGGGTAAATAAGGTACTTCGTAACCTTCACCAAACACCATTTTTACCATATTTCGCAGGCCAAACCACCCTTCTCTGTCGAATTATGTTTGATACTTCTATGGTACACATCGGACATTCCTTATAATATTGCTATAGGAACAAATTACTACAATAACGAATAACAGGCAAAATCACACGTAATAGATACAATTTGTACCACAGAAATATCCATAAGTATTTTACAAGGAAGGGTGGTTTGGCCCGCGAAATACGATACTGCTCATAACTTATACAGTAATAAATCTTTTAATAAAACAGCTAACAAACTCATAACAAAACCACTCACAACACAACGTTACCGCTATATATATATATCGTGCTCAACCGAACCTTTAACTTATACAAAACTTTAGAAATAACTTAACCCACTATATCAATCAGTTAATGTCAGCTAAAAGTCGACATCTAAAGCAAGCCAGAATTTAAAGCTACAAAACATATATATACTCTATATACTTTATATGTTATTTATCTATTAGCACAGATATCTTAGATCTATTTTACTCAGTCAAACTCACAGCTCAGTCTTAGTGAAACCTTGTTTTAAGAATATAATGATTATGCAAAATCATGCGTCAAACCCAGCAAAACCCATCTGCTTTTTATTGGTTAGGGCTCTACTTGGACATATTATTTGACGTCTAATCTCTACTAGAACATATCGTTTGGCATCATGTATATTGTTGTTATCTTTATAAATTTTTTGCGACAATCATCATGTCAAACGACTTGACCTCTATAAAAATTTTTGGGATACTGTCGTACTGTTGCATATTCGCCCATATGCATTTTTTTTAAACTTCAGTCTTAAAATTTATTCTTAAAAATCTGAAATACCGGTAATTTTAGTCGATATCCACCACGAGATCAAGAATCGTTGATCTAACTAACCAGAATTAGAATGATTATAGTCCAATTAACCGGGATTAGAATGATGAATATACAGCAGCTCGGTCTATGAGCCAGGTCAAATCAGATCATATGGATTATTTAAACATCTCTAAATATGGATTACGATAATGAATACGTACGTACGTACGTGAAAAGTTACGTATGTATGTACGTACTTAGAAGGGATTGCCAAGGGATAATGTTTTTTTTTTTGATTTTCTGTAACCATAGAAAAGACAAAGCAGAAGTTACAACAAAATGATTTTGTTTATTTAATATTTTGGTTGTGTAATACTGAAATGTGAATGTGTTGATGAATGACTTACAAATGGGCTCAAATAAAGGCCATCGGAAAGGAATAATGAATGGTTGATATTGTCTTTAAAAAAACTATTAAAAATCATGAGAGTGATATAATTTGATCTAAATGCGTAATTAGATTTAAATGTATAAATTATAGTATCAATGTATCTACAGTATATCTACAGTATATAATAGTATATTCATTCATGTAGGAGTTTGGAACTATCACATGTACCATACTATTTTCTATAAATATAATTAATTTTTGTTACTTTAGTCGAAAAATAATGCATCAATGTAGATATTTAAAGTTAGAATTAAATAATTCGAATGAATACTTAGACGGGTTTGAACATCACTGCAGCGTGGCGTGAGACGCTAAATTTACCGTTACAATTGTACGTAATAAGGTAATGTTTGTCAAGTTCTTGAACACTTGCAAGTTCATTAAGATTCCATGTAAAACAAAGTCAACGGTACTGTACATCAAACATTTGATTATTAATGAATTTCATCAATGAATGCACTTTTTTACTTTACTTGATTATGAGTGGAAATTCTTACCAAGTATAGGCAAAAAAAAGGGTGGCCTTGTGTGACATAACTTTTAATTACTGATCGATCTGACTTTTTAATAAATTATATAAAAAATTTCTTTTTTAGAAAATAAAAAACTTGACATCGATTACCCTTTCTTTTTTCCCCGCTTTACCTTTTCATATATGTCATATGGCGAGTGAAAGCCAACGAGAAGAAAATTCCAATAGGCAGAATGATGGTGGTGTTCCAAGAGTTGATTTTAATTTGATGATTAATGATGAACCTGTTAAGAGACCACATCGTAGAATTCCTAATCGTTCTTTTACACAGCCTGGATATGAAAATGGTAAAGCACCTCTTGATAGTGTTTTTGAATCTATTTCGGAAGATACCGCCTTGTTAAGCGGTGAACCATCTCAAAACTACAGTCATTTTAATCCCCATTCCTCTATATCTGAGGATAATAATCTCAGGTTAGAATATTTATCATATAGCCACTAAATGAAATGTGCCATTTGAAATTCGATGCAAATATTAAAATTATAATAATAATGATAATAAAAATAATAAAATGTAATCGAATTATATATATATATATTTTAAAAAAAACAAGAAGAAATTATACCATCAAAAAAAATAAATAAATTTTTTTATCAATTAAATCCTTATTTGTTATATATTTGTACATAATTTAATATAGCGATGTTCATCGCACACGGCCTCATATCAATAAAAGACATACATGGGCTGCAAATGCTGTTAAAGGATTTAACGGCCAAATGCGGCGGTATAAGTCACGTAGTGGTGCTTATGATGAAGATGAAGATAGACATGCAATCGTTCGTGAGGGTGGTGGTATTCGTGTTTGGTATGACGATTATACAACAAT